GAATGCCTTTCTGTAGAACTCCATTTTTCTGACAGTCTTCTCCATCCTTACATGCTGATAGCTCCTGAGAATTCAAGGGTGTGGTCTCCATTCTTCTGGTCAGTAAATTATACCTATGTCCATCTGCCAAGGACCCGTGCTGGACTCCCAGTCCTCAGACTTGTTGATCTCAGCGATTGTGTTGATGGGATCCACAGCTCTGCTGGACAGGCACACAGAGAAAGGAGAATAAAATTAGGCATTTTACTTGTCTTTGGTATTAACTCATCATACATCTTAAACTGCATTAGTTAATAGAATTACAAGCGCATCTGTGAAATGTGAAATATCCTATTTGCTATAGGAGGGTCAAATGATCAACTGAATTTTTCAACCTGCACAGGGCATCAAATCATATTCAAGTACTTCGGAAAGGAAACGAGAAAAACACACAACGATCATCAAGATTTTGCAGACTCTACTTAAGAACAAAGCATCTGCTTCACTTTGAGGGCTGAAATCTCACCTTGAAGTTTGCCAGGAACTCTAGAAGAACGTGGAGCTTCACACAGCACTTACTTTGTCCTGGGTGTGGTGTTGAGAAAACATTAACAAAGAGGCAGTCTCTGCCTGCGAAAGCTAAGGACTGACTTCTCCATCATGTAAGCTGAACACCAAAGTTAGATTTTACAGAAACTATAGATACGATTTTAAAAGGGAAAGCACAAAGGACAGAGGTGAAGAGGCCACCTCCTTGCTCCTTAGCTATGGATTTTTTTCACTTTCCTATTTAGCCCAGGTCCAGAAGTTTTGGGCAAAGTCTAGCTGCCTCCAGCTGTGTCCATCCATCTGTGCTTGGCCATTCTGTGTATCCATTACACCACTGTGAGTCTGGGCCTTAAACAGCACTGCTGCTCACCATCCTTTTTTTCTTTCTTTTTTTTTCTCTCATTCTCTCTCTCTCTCCCTCTCTCTCTTTTTAGAGATTTTTGCTATAGGGTAGCCAGAACTTGCTGGAGAGACAGAAAGAGACGGGGAGACAGAACATGAGAAATCACCCCCTGGGTGGGGGATGGTCACACTGCAATCCCTTCTCCATTTTCCTCTTGGGATTTGGGGCACACATACACATGTGTCTGGTGTGAGCTTCAAGCTGCCAGGTCCAAAAGTTGAACTGTGGTCGACCACGTGGGAGTCCAGTACCTCAACCACAACGCCACCTACTTGTCCCACACTATTCATTCTTTATGCCACTCCCCAGCAACTTGTTCTGTGACAACAGAATTGATGAATCTAACCCTAACCCTAACTCCTAGCCCATAACTCCTAACCCCTAACCCTAACCCCTAACCCTAACCCTTAACCATAACCCTCTTAGCAGGAGAGCAAGGGAGGAGTGCCTGCAGGGTACTGATGTCCCTGATTGAGTGTTACTGTCCATACTTGCCTTTTGGGGAGAGCTGGGCCAGGCCTTCTGCACCTTCATTTCACTGCCATGGGCTGGGGTACAGAGAAGTCAATTCAGCTCTCATCTGGATTGAGATGTCAGACGTCAAACATGGCGTACAAATCTGAGCCCTTTTGGACTTTAAACCTATGGCCTGCTATAAAATTGTAAGCAGCCAAGACCTTCCAGTGAACTTGGTTTCTTCTGGGCCTGAGCTTTGCAACTCTTGAAATAGTTTGGGAGCCGAAACAAATTTCTGCTTAGCCCAAACCAAACTATACCTTTCTAGGTAAAGCTGTCTGGGCTGGACTGTTAGTTCTCACTGCCCATAACTGCACAGATCTGATGCTAACCCTCCAAGTCCAACAGCAGGAGAGAGGATGGCTAAGAACCGGGAGTTACTAAAAATGGCAAATTCATATCTCCTCCGCGAGGCTCAGTGACTAAAACTTAACTATCTACACATAAGAAGACAAAACCATAGTGAAAAATGAGAACACCAAGAAGCAGCTTCTCGCTGATGGCTATGGACATAAATATTGGCAAGGATTAGACGTGAACACTAGGAGAGGTAAGTAGTTAGAGTTTGTGTTCATTGGGTCCTTTTTTTACTGTAAAGCGGAAAATTAAAATTTTAAAGCAATTGATTGTTGCCAAAAATACCTACACCAACAAAAGGTAAATCAGTAGCTAGTGTGTGTGTAAAGCAGGTAAGAGAGAGATGTCCTGGGTTCTGCCCTGTCCAGTTCTTTGGTCCTTACTCTCTCCCACCTCAGGCTCAAGATTCAAACAGTACTCACAGAAGAACATGAATTTCTGACAAAGAATGACCTAGAGAAAACATCAGTCTGCTAACCTTTCATGCTGCTGTCCCTCCTCGCCCTGCTCTCCCCACTCAGGGGATTCGATCAGACTTGAGACTCTTAAATAACCACAGATCCACTTCACCTACCATAAATAACCATTAATCCAGCCAAGAAATTGCTTCTGAGAGATGATGAGATGTCAATATATTCAACTACACAGCTAAATGAAACCTGAGCTTGGCCATCTCTGGTTATGTTGGGACCTCTCTGCCTCCTCCTGGCTTGTATTAATGATGCACTTTCCACATTGGACACTTGCAAATTTAAAGACCAAACAGTAGGGATAAAGAACTTTTCCACAAGTAGCCAGATAACACCAACCTGATAGAGCCTGCCTCTGACCCTGGGCCACCTTTTTCCTTTCTTTTTCCTCTTCCACCCCCCCAAATTATCTGTAGAAATTTCTTCCTGTCTTTTAAAAAGAATTATTTAATTTATTATTATCTTTTAATTGGTATAGGGCACGTGTGCCCACCAGAGAGAGAGAGAAAGTAAGAAAGCAAGCCACTAGGAGCTTGAATCGTGGTCAGCTGTATGGGAGTCCAGCGTCTTAATCACTATGCCACCTGCTGGCCCCAACTTCTTCCTATGTCCAACAGCAACACGTTCATTTAAATTGAAGCTTGGGGCCAGGTGGTGGCCAGGTGGTAATGCAACTGGGCCCACAGTGGAGAGGTCCTGGATTCTTGTCCCCAAGCATGCTGGCCGTGCACATGCTCATGACCCAGGCTGGCTAAAACTGGGGGTGGATCGAGGTATAAAGACTCTGTTGGGGATGCCCCTTTCTCTCTTACACACAGAAGAAATAAAACAGACAAACAAAACCTCTCTTAAGGGCCAGCAGGCAGGGTGGAGAATAAGATGCTGGATTCTATTGGCAGACTACGCAATTCAAGTCCCAAACCCAGCAGCTTGAAAGTCATACCAGGTACATGTGCTTACGTGTCCAAAATCCCAAGGGAAGAATGGAGAAGGAATTGCAGTGTGGCCATCACCCTGGGGAGTGATTTCTCACTTTCTCTCTCTGCTTCTGTCTCTCTCTGGCAATTACATACACCCTCCAGTAAAAACTAAAAACAAACCAAAACAGCAGCTGGCAGGCGGCATTGTGGTTAAGAGAGCTGGACTCCCACATGGTTGACCATGGTTCGAGTCCTGGACCTGGAGGCTTGTTCTTGCTCTCTCTCTCTCTCTCTCTGTTCCTCTCTGGTCAAATTAAAATAAGTAAATAAATAAAATTAAATAAAATAATTCTTAAAAAAAGACATGGCTGACTGTGGTTCGAGTCCCAGACCCTTGTTCTTGCTCTCTCTCTCTCTCTCTCTCTGTTCCTCTCTGGTCAAATTAAAATAAGTAAATAAATAAAATTAAATAAAATAATTCTTAAAAAAAGAAAACCTCTCAAATAAATAAGTAAACTGCAGCTCAAAGCTTTGCATCACTCAGCCCTCCTCCAGTCTGTCTGCCCAGCCCAGAGCAGCATAGCTCATCTCAGAAACAATACACTGGGCAGAAGGCATAAGCATTTAGACACAGCAATGTCTCATTACCCCCCAGCCTCAGGAGCCAAATGACTTGCTCTTTTATTTACTTTCTCCTTTGGACTGTCCCGCAAGGAGGATAGACAAACGTGTGGGTGGGGAGTTTTGGGGGGTGACATGTATTCTCTGGGGTTCAGCCCCCCAAGGCATCCAATCTTGATCTCCGGGCAACTATGATGAGATCCTGGAAGAATAATGCACTGCTCTTTATTTTTATTCTCAGCCATTCATTTTCAAGGTCTTGTTTCCTGAAATATCCCCCAGTACTTTTAAATTTTTTTATTTTTTATCAATAGACTGAAATGGCTCAAGTGTAAAAAAAAAATCTGTTAAAAGCACCCCTCAGGCAACTCCTGACTTCAGGTGGCCTCTCCCCAGACGGTGGTCTCTCTCCATCAGTTCTACTTAATGGGGTCCTCCTATCATGCCCGCCCCCCTGTAGAGCCCGGGGTGCAAAGAGAAAGTTTCAGCCACTCACAGCCACTGACAGGCAGAAAATGTATGTGTCCTTTTCTTCAACTCACAACTCTGCCTATCCCGTTTACAGAATTCCTCTCTGTTATCCATCCAGTGTGCCAGGAGCCCCCAGCTTGTGTCTGGGCCCCTTTCTGCCTGCAGGCTCCTGTCTAGGGAGCCCAGACTCCTTGCTCACGTTTCTGATTCTACAGAGCAACTGACAGGCTTTTCCTACTGAGACTGCAGATAACAATGATGGAGAGCAGGCTGGCCGGGAATAGAGAAGTGGGAGCTTAAGAAGGTTGGTTTCTAAGAATGCTCTCTTGAAAGCTTTCTTTTTTAAAAAAGATATTTTTATCCTGCTGGGTAGAAAGATTGCAAACGAGGTCAATATTACAGCTGTGACCTCCTCCAGGCAG